TGATACGATTATTCTAGTAACGTCTATGGGATAATGCAGGGAATGTGCCACCTTCGCGTGGGACTATTGCTCACAGCCTAAGCTTTAAAGCAAATACTGGCAGAAAAAAATTCTGAAGCAAATTATGAACTCATTCACTCCAGACCTCACCTGTGTGACCTCCCCATTGCTTCCCGAAACAGTGCACCTGCTTCAAGTCCAGTCGGGCCGAGGCGGACGACACGAAGCGATTGAAATTATGTATTGCATGTTTTATGGTGTACATTAATACACATTATATTATACCTTATACTATATAGCTTATATACCACATATTGTTACTGTTGTCCTTTTCGGAACCTCAAAATTGCCAGTTCTCGCCGGCTGCAGGAGTAAGGCCAGTGAAAGGGCACACAAGCCCACTGGAACCGTCGCGACTTCGAAGTACAATATTCATCATCATATGGCATTGTATAATGTATAGTAAAACATCGTATAATACATATAGTAAAAAAAAATATAGTTTAGTACATAGTATAATATATCATTTGCAATATAGTAAAGTACATAGATGACAACAAAAGCTACTTAGGAGGGGAGTGGGGGAAGCGTGGCGGGGGTACTTGGCAAGGAAAGACCCGGCATACTATCTATTCTGTTGGCAAACACCGCCCTGGTCTTCGTCATCGTATATGTTAAATGTTATCTATAATATTCTTTTTACGATATCTTATATATAGTAATATATCATCACCACTAAGAACTGTCAGCATCAGCATCATCACGGTCTTCATCACCATCGTGATCATGATGATGAAGACCAACAGGGTTCACAGAGATCGGAACGAAGGGTCCGGTGAGTTCAAAATTGCTCAACCATTGGAGCATCCCATGGATCCTTCCTGGACCACCGGAGGCTTGGCTATGCAACCTATCGACAGAAATCTCGAGCAAACCGCGGATGGGACAGAACCCCAAGGAAGCGCTAGCAAGTGAGCCGACGGGCATATACATAGACATAGACATCCTCCCACCCACACAAACACACACACACACACAAATAAAAAAAAATACACGTTCCGAACGAAGGAGTCAGGGGCCCCTGGCGCTTCGATGGGAAGCTGCACGCTCGGACCTTGGCTCGCCGTTGACCCGGGGGGGAGCGATCATTTGAATCCCGAAACCTGCAAGGCCTCAAAGCCATCCATACGTGCATATATGTACTAACATAATATTAATTAATATATATATATATTACGATACATCATAATATACATGAAAGCAAATCTGTCAGAATGTCCTTCGATCTGTGTCACAGTCAAGGCCCCGACTGAACGGCCCTCTCCTCGTCGGACATCGGGCCACCTGAGAAGTGCGAGGACTCTTTCTCAGGCCCCATTGCGCTACATGCTAGACGATATATAAGACTATATATTATACTATGCAGTATATTATGCATTAAACTACAGATTCTACTATTATACTATGTTATGCTGTATACTCTACCATACTATACCATAAGGCACCAGCCCGGTCCCGGGGTTGCGGCGAGCACTCTGAGATCCACCGCGCAAGGCAGACGGCCGGGTCTCCTTGCACCGCCGAGCAGGCCAAGACGTTGGGCTTTGCTGGGAGCTACAGGGCCTGATATTTCATGAAATATTACACCATCTAGAATACTATTCCTACATATTACACATATATATATATATAGGGCTCAGATTGCTTCCGCGAGCTGGAAGAAGACTGTAGCCCCAGCACGGAAATCGTGCGTGTGGTTTCGGTGCGCTGAATCGGCGCAACCATCAAGCGGCCACAGCCATCGCCTACGTGGCACCGTCGAGCCCGTCGACGGAGTTCCATTGCACGGCGCAACATTGGGTTGCTTCGGCCTATTACTGCTGCCCAACGTGCAGCTTTGGAGTGGCATCACGCCACCTGCCCGGACCTACGACGCAAAGTCAGACGACATATGGGCAAGCAGCCTAAGAACAAGGCACCATGGCAGCGTCAAGGAGCAGAACATTACGACCACTCCTCATGGGAGCTTTGGCGTGGTTCGTGGAAGTCTGCTTCGCCGAAGGCCAGAGCTTTTCCCTCTTTCGATCGGGCTTGGGGTCCCAAACAGGACATAGCTGTCATGCGAGAAGAGCGGAGACCTGGTGCACAATGGGAGGAGAGCACGGCCAGAGCAGCACAAGCTGCAGTCAACAACCTGCGGAAGGCGGAACAGAAAGTAGCGAGGTTAGGCAGGGAGAAAACAGACAAAGCCACTCGCTTTGCGGCCTACGAGAAGGAAATAAAGGCTTCCTTTGCTGCAGAGGAGAAGAGATACCACGCGATCCAAGAACGCCTTTCAGACGACTTGGCCGAGGCTCACAAGCAGCTCAACCTTGCGAAGGAAGCAATGGCCCAGGCTGCGGACGAGTACAGGACAGTGCCCATGGACACTGCCAGTGGACAAGAAACCTCGGAAGTGGACCGCTGGGAACGGATGTTGCAACGGTCAGGGCCAGTGGAGCCCACACCATCCATCGATCCGGAGTTGTTGGAAATTTTGAGGCGCTACAAGCGGGGCGAGTGCCTACCTCCACAAGACTCTCCCACCTTTGGATCAGCTCGGAACATGGACTCTGCTGCTGTTCGTCCGGCGGCCTCAATGGAAAGACCTGCTCCCATGAGGGAGAAGGAGGAGCCGTTGCCGGAGAAGGCTCCATCGGGACCAAGCCTCGGGCACAGCTATGGGGCTGCGTCGCCAAGCACAATGCAGCACAGATCATCCCCGTATCCACCCACCTCCCCTGTGGGCCAACATATGGCCGCAGATATTACTCGGACAGCGGATACAGCAACGGTGCCAGAACAGCATGCTGCTGCAGTCGAAGAACATCCAGAGCGTCCGCCGAAGAAATTGCCTGTGAAGGAGGCAACGAAAGCACATCCGGAGAAGCCTCCGAATGGGGGCACCTCACTTTCGCAGAAGTTGGACGACAAAAGAAGGAAGGCGGTCGGCTCCGCGATGGACCCCTTTCGCCAAAAGCTGGATGTTCACCCGCCACATGTCGGTCCGGTGCCTGCCGAGCCCTTGCAGGATACGGGACAGAATGCACCTCCCAACATCGTGGACGACGATATGGACGAACTTTCGGGTGCAGCATCCCCAGGTTTGGGACGGCTGGATGGCTAGGTGACAGTAGGCAGGTGTCCAGGACGCAAGCATATCCACGCGCTCCCTCGGGCAGACTGGTGGGGCAGAATATGGGTGAGACTATCCTGTGGATGTCTCCTCATAACTGCGACCCCCTCGGTCAATGCGGTTGGAGTAAAGTGGACGTGTGTGCCGTCCTGTGGCACCTGCGGTTTCACCCGCAGCTAAGAGAAGCCTGTACAGAATTTTGGTCCAGTGAGGTTATCTGTACGGTTCTCTTCATGTGTTGCGATGTGAACGGCAACTTGGCACCACTGAGTACTTGTTTTCCCGAGTCGTCCCTGTCTCTAGGTATTTCCCCGCTGCACACCCCTCTTTGGGGTCTCAGTTGCTTTGCTTCGTCCGGGAGCCTTATCAGTGTCACTCTTGGTGCTCGACTTCCCAAGATACACTGTTTCTACCTGCCTTGGCATCGACAGCCAATCCCGGGTTGCCTTAACATGTGCCTATGCCTCGGTGCTCGATTTCCCGAGGCACTTAAGGCCATCGTTTTCTCACAGGTGTTGAGCCCTGAGTGCTCCACCGAACTTGGTGCCGGTATTGCCTTCTTTGGCAGGCGAGATCTAGTGAGAGCGCACAACATGTGTATCGGTTGCCTGGGACACAGGCCTCACAAGCTCGCTTATATGACTTCTTTCCCGGTGCTCGATTTCCCAGGGGACAACTCTTTGTACCCTCTCTGATTGGGGGACACAATATCCGTGGTCTTGATGTGTGTTTCCACCTCGGTGCTCGATTTCCTGAGGTTGGAATCCCTTCTCCACCCTGTGCAGTACTCGGTGCGCGACTTCCCGAGCTGCCCTTCCTTCTTCTTGTCGTTGTCCCTCTGCACAACCCTTTTTGGGGATCAAGTGGGTCGGCGTTGTCGGGGAGACCTTCTTCTCATGGGTTCAACAGTGTCAATCTTGGCAGACCCACCCAGGTACACTGTCCATATATGCCTCGGCACCGACGGCCAGTTGCATGTTGCCTGACCATGTACCCACGCCTTGGGGCTCGACTTCCCGCTGCTTCTACGGCCTTTAATTTCTTCCGGGGGTTGAGCCCTGAGTGCTCCACAAAGCTTGATGTCTGCGTAGCTTTTCATGGAGGGCGAGATCTCGTGAGAGCGCACAACATGTGTATCGGTTGCTCTGGGACACAGGCCTCACAAGCTCACCTCCATGAACTTTCTGTTTGGAGCTTCAGCTCCAAGTTCTCCTTGGCTCCACATTTTCATTTTCAGTACACTCGACTGCTTGGGATCTTCTCTTGCAATGATCTCCTCGAGGTCACTCCTGGTGCTCGATTTCCCAGGGTGCATCTCTTTAATCCCCCTTTGATTGGGCTACTCAATGTCCTATGTTTGGAGATGTGTTTCCACCTCGGTGCTCGACTTCCCGAGGTTGGAATTTCTTCCACATTTTCTGCAGTATGGTTCATGGAGTGCCCAGCTTATTTTCCATTTGGTCTCGTATTATTTGGTTGGGGGGATGTAGTGAGTGCGCAAAACATGTGTATCGGTTGCTCTGGGACACAGGCCTCACGTACCCCCTCACCTCCTGTTGCAGATGACCTTGAGCATCAGGGTGCACTCTTGGAGTATTTAATATCTGTGGGGTCGGTTCTGTACACCGCCATATGCAGTGCTGCCCTTGCGACGTTGCTCCTACTTGTTGCTC